GACATGTCTCGGATACGGATCCAGAACTGAATTCTTTAAAACAAAATGGCCGCCAGTCGGCTATTTCGAACTTGATCCGAAAAAAAAAATGACGTGCATCAAGGTCCTATTATGTTTAATGTATGTACCAAATTTGAATGAAATCCGTCCATGCATAACTAAGATCCGGGTCCGGAATGGTGAAAATGTGCGATTTCAATGCATTTTCGGCTTTAAAGCGGCCGCCATTTGGCTATCGTTAATGAGATCATGAAACAAATGCACATACATATTTGTGACATGATGTACCTTGTGTGTGTGAAGTTTGAACTCGATCAATCCAAGCATGTCTCAGATACGGATCCAGAACTGAATTCTTTAAAACAAAATGGCCGCCAGTCGGCCATTTCGAACCCGATCCAAAAAAAAAAATGACGTGCATCAAGGTCCTATTATGTTTAATGTATGTACCAAATTTGAACAATATCCGTCCATGCATAACTGCGTCCGAACGGGGACTAATTAGAGAATTGAAGATATCATCATGAAATGAACAAATCTGAGAGAGGTCTACCCAAGGTACATATACACCAAGTATCAAAGCATTCAGGCTTGTAGTTTTCAAGAAGAAGTCGAAAAAGTAAAACATTGACACGGACGACGACGACGGACAATCACTCATATGATAAGCTCCGCTCGACAAAGTCTGCCGCAAAAATTGAACGATTTGATTTTGAACTTGAATTTCTTTATTTCGTAGCTCACATCAACCGGCCACTACGACGCTATGACCTTTGTTTGCTCTGTTTCTACGTTCGATTTCATGCATGACGCGTGATTCTCACAGTGAACGAAAAATGGTCTATAACAAATTTAATTTGACCAGCTTGAACACAACTAAGTTGTATTTGCCTTACATACCTTAAGATCCTGTTCTGTATGCATTTCAGCCAAGGCATTCATAATACCCATGGTCCATGGATTAGGTGGTTTGAATACTCTGCTCTTTGCACATGACTCCAACACTTTAGCAACAAATGGCACCACATACAACATCTCCTGCTGACCTTTGTGATAAGCTTCCAGTAAAAGTGATTTCAAATCCAGATCCTAAATAGTGACAAATATGTATTCTCAATTTTGTCATTCATTCTCTACCAATACAGTATACATACAAATACTGCCAAAAAGAATAGATACCACAAGTTTCAGCCAAAAATTGCAAGATGGCCAACAGTGCTCAGAATGGAAAGGAAACATTAAATAACCTTCCTTGTTTACTGAACTGACACATAAATAATTATCGATTAATTTAATAAATGAATGTTAAGCCCTGAAAAACATTATTTAAAATTCTTACTGGTGAATCATTAGATCTCCATGGACTTCATGTTTTATTAAAAACTGAGCACCAACTTACTATTTGTAAAATAGGTTTGTTCTTGTACACTGTCAACATACCAAGCCAATGACCTAGATTTTTCAAGATCGTTCTGTCTGAAAAGTTAGCGCTGCTTTTATTTGAATTCAGAAGAACCTGCAATAAGAATGCAAAGATTATCAATCAAGAGAATTTAAGAGAACGGAATTTATGAAATGTGCATTGAAGAAGTTACTGAATAGTGAGGCACTGTAATAAGAGCGTAATAACACTCATTGACTCTAAAAGGGTCAAATAATTGTAGACAGTCAGTTTTTTTCATTCCCCATGAAAAACAGTGCATAGACTGTAGTACTTTGTGATTTGCAATCAATACCAGTTATTGTTATTCGAGTATGCGAGGACAAACATTGAGAAACATTTGGCCAGCAATTTGTATTTAGTCACACACTCAAGTTGGCAAGAGTCTAAAATGATAGACTTTGAAATGATACTGTACAAGATGAATACTAGATTAACATTATTCAATGATATTCAATAGAATATATGACTGTAGGTTGTCAAACCTACCACTTAGATACAAATTCATTTTACTGTGCATGATCACTTTGCAATGAATCATTATAAGTACATTTTAATGGGTGGCGATCATGGTACCACACACATTGAACCTGTACAGCACAACAAACAAACCGTTTCAAGAATCTACAACTCATGACAAAACAAGCATCATTACAGCTACAATATCACAAACATTATTTAACATTACATTTACAGCAATTGTACAGCAGCACTAAGAAGCAAGGTTACTGCGCAGACAGGGTTCTCCCCAGGAAAAAATTAAAACTCCGTTAAATTTTGTTATCAATTTTTTTTACTTAATAACATAATTCTTAACATTTGTTTACCAAAACAAATTGTGACATGAACCAATGATTGTATTTATCGATTCAAACGAGTCAATTTTCCTCATTCCCATTGAATGTGAATTTTTTTCTTGAAATCAAACACCAAAAATGTTAGTCTCTTAGTGCCATATTGGCCTGTAGGGGGGGAACCCTGGCAGGTAATGAAGCATGCATAGCTACTACATGAGCAGGCAGCAATACATAGTTATGTCTTATTCTTTTTTTCATTTGAACAAGTAATGTTTCTTTATTTCCAAACATGATAAGACTTTTTTATGGATAATTCCAACTGCTATGATTTTCCAATAGTTTTAAAATAATACATTTTCTGGTTGACCGGTGCTTTCACCTTTATGTATCATTGCAATTAGGCTCTGGACTAATTGCACCATTTACAAAAAAAGTTGAAAGCTCAGATTCAAAAGAGGAGACCATCGTCAAAATATTTTCTTGGCAAGAAAATCATTTTCGGGGGAGAAAAAGACATAACTATGATAAAGCTAGACAACCAAACACTCACCACCTTGATATTTCTATAGGTTTCTTTCAGAACCATTTCACAGAACTTGTTATGTTTGAGAACATCCATGAAGTTGGAATACAGCATGTGGAAGTTGGGTTCGATACTAGCTCTTTTCTGAACCAAGTACTGGGAAACCCATGGTAGGTACTCTTCACCAATGAGGTCTTTTAATTCATCACACTGAAACAAAACAGTGTCAAAAGTTAGTTTATTAAACATACAGTTATATTACTAGCAGATCAGGTAAATGCTAAATCATGTGAAGAGAAAAAAATTAACAATTTTGTTCTCTCACCTTTGGTTGTAAGTTAGACTGAGATAAATTATTGAAAATGAAGAAAACTTTGTCCTGTATTGATTCTGGTGGTTCTAATTGTTCATCCTCTGGTGTGTTCGTTAACAAAGTATCAATATTGGTGGTATTGGCAATAGAAGGCTGTTGAGACAATATAATTTAATACATAAACGATTCACAAAGGCATGGTTAAAGTCATAGTGGACTTCTAACAGCAATGTAATCATTACTGACACTAGCTTCAACATCAGGGAAAAACAACAAAGTTCAGCTATTAAACATAGCTATATATTTGCACCTCTGAAAAAAAAAACTAAAATGAATTACCGGCACTTCTCTTGTTCCTTTAACAGCAGACGTAGTTTTGGTAGAAGCTTTAGTGGTTGTGGTAGCTACAGTGGTTGTGGTGGTAGTTGTGGTTACAGCAGTTGTCTTGGCCATCACAGGTAGAATAGTTGGCGTAGAGATTGGCGGTATACTTGATGTTTGAGTTGATAATCGTACTGGTGGTTCTCTAGATTGCTGACCATACTGAACATACTATGCACAAATAAACGCACAATAACGCAACATTATTAGCCAAGGGACATACACAAGAAATAATATAAAGTTCAAGGACATTTTATATCAGTATTATGGGATGACCATGTCTTTTTTCTGTTTTGTTGTCGACATGAGAATTATAGCAGTTATTTATTACTGATTGTCAAAGTGATCTATTTCTTTACATTTTAATAGTGATTTCAATGGACCACTTAGCAACAGCTTTTTATGCTGATTTGATCAGAACTTTACAGAAAGACATTTTTCCCAGACACTTCTAATTCAAAGATATTCCAGTATATGAACCAACCTCGCGCATTGAGAGTCTACATTACCATAAATAAAACAAATATGAATTCAGGAAGAATAAGAATTACCAAAGTGCACTCCCCACCTGGTAAAATTTTTTTTTTGCATGGCCAAAGTAAAAATAAAAGTAATTTTTGAGGACGAAAGTTGTTTCCATGAGCATTTTCACACTAAATTCACCATAAGTTATCTACTTGACTTTAACAACAAAACAAATGCAGGAACAGCTGTTTTGCAAAACATGCCTTCATGCAAGTATGTGGTTGCACCAACATACTGGTTGATACTCCCACTGCACTGTATTAGTGCATACTTAATGGTTAATCATGTAAAAAGCTGAAAACCATTTAATTGTCATTGAGACTTACCTCAATAAGTATCTCTGGGAATTGACTGAAGTGGGGTATTGATGCTAGATGTTGGCAATACTGTGGATAATCTTTAAGTCTTGTTTTAAATCTATCCAGTGACGAAATACCAAAGTAATACATTTTGCTCCCATGTTGTTTTCTGAGCGCTTCCAGGACATATCGAAGTGCTATTCCTAATGCCATATACCTAACAAAAGATGGTAGAAAAGTTTAATTCAACTGCATATTGCACTGTTAGAAAAATAACAGTGGAATTCAATGTTGTTTCCAACATATGTAAATCTATGACATAAAGTTGACAATAAAAGAAATAAAGTGTACTCACGTGACAAGACCTTGTTCAACAATTCCTCCAAATAAGCAGGCAGTGATGTGTAGTTCACGGTCAGGGTACTGAGGAAAAAACCTGTACTCTTCAAAGAGATTACGCAGCATGCATAGGAACACTTCCTATAAAACAAATCATTGGAGTGTATTAAAAGATGCATTCCCAACTTTACAAATTTAAGAAGTACCAATGAATATATATGGTACACCAGTAAATGTTGAGATTATGGATGGATAATGAGAATTTAATTTGAGCTAGATTTATAAGCAATAAACATTGAGTTAGGAGGCTTTGTTTTTCCTTTGTTGGTCAATTACATTGTAGGTATGTTTGTCCAAGGGATGAGACCCTCTAGTACTCTCAAAATAAAATGGACAGGAAAGTGAGGGCAGAATATTTACTTTTAATATGTCATCTTTTATACCTGCAACATTATGTCAAGACATTTTGTTTTAAGCTTGTTCAAGAGGAGATGTACACATTTATTTGGGAATGCAACATTAACATATTTTCATTTTAAACTGGACTTAGAATTTGAAAGTCACACGAACATCAATTAACCAGACACACTGACACAAACACGCACTGCGCATTCATGTAATTTTATAGTAGCTGTGCTAGAGAAAAGTAGACTTACCCTCTCCTTTTTAACTGGTGAATCTTTAAACCTCTTTAACATATCAAGTACCTCATCTACAGACATTGTCGGCTCTGGATGCTGGTTGTAGATTTTTTGAAAATAGCTATTAGCTTCATCATCTATGTCTTTCGAGAACGTCTGGTTCATTTCCGGCCAAATATTGGACAAATCACCTTAGATGCAAACAAACATAGCCAGTTTCAATATATTTATTATCAATGACTGAACTAATGATATGATTGTAGATGGATAGGACAAACATTGTTATACTGCACTACAATTAATATGTTTTTTTTTATCATGGACAATGAACACTGCTGTTTAAATTAATTTGTGCATATTATTTTACTTTTACAGTGAACAAAAAATGTCTATATGTACACATACTGTTGACAATACCAAAATATTTCAGACATTTGCCAAATGTACACATGTGAAATATGAGTGGGTAGCATGGCTCAATGTATTATTACAACTTTTACACTTGTAGCAATATTTTGCTATTTGATATATTTTAATTAGGTGGCACTGTGCAAACCATATCCAACACAGACCTTTAAGTAAGCCCAGTTCATTAGTTTTTATTTCACTGCCTAAAAACACTTTCAAAACAAGACAAGACAATTTATTCATTCATTCACACATTTAATGGTGAATGCTTTACAAAACTGGCTTGCTTCATGGCTCACTCATTTTTGGAGTGTTGGTTCTAGTTTGCACTGTGCATGATAAGGTGTGAGGTTACATACAACAATTATCTATGTAAACTATAGCACAATGGTAGACAGTGAAAGAACAAGTAAAGTAGGACCACTAATAAACAACTAAACTAAATAGTACCTACCAGTGAGAGAAGAACAAGGTGATGATGAGACGACAAATGTAAATTAACTTACTACTGAAATTCTTTGGTTCCAGCTCACCTGGTCTGAGAGCAGGGCTTGTTGTTTTTGTGCCTGCTTGGTCAAATGCCTGAGCAGCAGAAGGATTCAATGCTCCCAAAGATGCAGGTGTTCTTGATTGTTTGAATAGATCAGTGCTGCCAGCATTCATCATAGCATTGCCAAAACCACCTTTCAAAAAAAATCATTATTTATAAATTAGAAAGTCTCTAAAGTGTCAGTTGCTATTTTATGAATGAAGTGGTAACAAAGTATAGAAAAGATCTTGTAAGACTACTATATGCAAGACTGATGAACTTACCTCCACCACCGCTTCCTCCACCAAAGTTAGCTTGCATCTGAGATAAAGGTGCCATTGACGAGAGCCCAGACGTTCCAGTAAGATTTGGAAATTGCTTTTGTGGAGACTGTGGTGCATTGAGAGGTGAACCCAAATGAGATGGAAATCCTGACATTGTACTTGTGGGTGTTGTAGTACCCAACGATAAGGATGATATGCTGTTGGCCAATGGGTCAATCTGCAAAAAAGGGAATCAGTCATGTGATATACCGCTTAATATAAAGGTCTGACATCAAAGCTAGTATGCAAAGAACACATTTCTTTATAAGTATGTGTAAACAAAAATCATACAAACCTGAGACCCAAGCCCCTGAGTTACAAGCCCTTGGGTTCCAAGTCCCTGGGTTCCAAGTCCTTGGGTTCCAAGTCCCTGGGTTCCAAGTCCTTGGGTACCGAGCGACTGTGTGCCTAATCCTTGACTGCCATGTCCTTGTGTCCCAAGACCCTGGCTACCAAAACCCTGTGTTCCAAGACCTTGTGTACCAAGTACCTGGCTTCCAGTTCCCTGTGTACCGATCCCTGGAAAGCCAGGGAGACTACTTGACACAGGATTTTTTGTTATTACACCAGGTGGCTGTCTTGATTTCAGTAAATGACTTGAGTTTCCCACCATAGTAAGTATGGTCTCAGATATATCTTGTTGTACATTCCTGTGCAAAATAAAATAAACATAGCATAACTATTACAACCTTGTCCATTGAGAACCCAGATTAAATCACAAATGTATGGATAACACGCTAATGATGCAAGCTTTTGTTTTTGCATGGAAAAGATGAGTATAAAGTGCTGGAACAATGCAATAATATATTATCCAAGCATTTTGTGAAAGAAATAAAGTCATAATTACATAAAATAAACTAATATTCATCATGTACTCTATTAATCTCAATGTTCCTCATAAAATAATGTAACTGTATTGTATAAATGTTTCTAAAAAAAGTTCAGCAACATATTTAAGCAAAATTTGTAAAATACTAGCTAATGTGTCCTCAAGTTATACTACATATACTGTATTAATCTCAATGTACCTTATACAATAACATTTAGTGTAAAAAAGTTCCTAAATAATAGTGCAGTAATAATATTTAGGCAAAATAAAATAGCATATTAGAATTGTGAACTTGAGTATAAAATGACTTCACTTTGTAAATTTTTTTTTCTATGCCTAGAAATATTTTAATTCAGTAAAATTTTACCTCACATCTTGCACTTGCTAGTTGCACCCAAATTGAAATTGGTTGACATTTCATAGCAATTGATTGGATAATCAGATAAATATTGTTTGATTTTAAGTGACATTTAATAAATATTTTGGAAAATATACATAGAACATATAGCATAATCTAACTTGGCCAAGATCCTAAACTGGTTAATTTAATATCCAAGTTTGAGAGAAATTGGACAAAAAATGCCTTTCATCTATGATGATACAAACATGATAAAAATCTAAGATTAATCCAATGTTATCAATGGTAACATAATAATCCAGAAAAGTATTGATTAAATAATAAATCAATATGTCAACTGGCTAATATAGTAAGCATTAACACATTTCTACTTACCCAACACATGCTTGTAAACATGCCAGCATAGTTCCTATGGTTTCTGGTGGTAACTGTCCAGCTTTAGAGATATCAGATTTATCCAGTAAGCCTCCACCTAACACTTGCGGTGCTCTCCTTTTCAAGAATGTTACACAGGCTTGTATAAACGGTTCCTGGTAACAGAAACAAGAAACGTAAATAAGGTGTGCAACAACACTGACGGGGAGAAACCGAGAAGATAATTAACAAGGTAGAGCAGCTTGCTGAGAAACATTACTTACCCCATGTTCTCGAATCTTATCAGAGAGCCATTTGTCAAGCTTGAGGTATTCCCTACGCGAGGCAAGGCATGCTAAGTCAATGACAAAGGCAAATGGAGTACCATTGAGCAGCATTGACAAAGCCTTCAGATCCTGGGCAACATCTAATATCCTGGAGAGTCTAGTCTGGTCAAAGTTGTCTCCTCTGATATACCATTCAGCCATGGCATGCATTACAAGCTGTCTTATGGTTGGTGACTGACCCTGAAAAATGTACAACATTCTTACTATTCTGTTTAATTAATCAATCAACTAACCTTACTATCAAATCCAATAACAGAAACCCACACCCCCAAGGGCATGGGATGTTATTTCTTGCATGAGTTGCAAAAAAAAAATCTCTTAGTGCGAGAAATCTCATCCCAGGCATAAGGTACAAGTAATTCTTTTTCTCACATCACCTCAAAATACATTATTGAATAAAAAGCTTAACATTCCTAGCGGCAGAGAAGCGATGTTTTTATTAACATCGCATAGACAGCGCCGGCTCACTTTGAAGTTTTAGGTTGTATGTTAGGCATCGCACTATAGAACAGTATTCTTTGCGTCTCTGTCGACCATTTTCTTCTTCTTCACACTCCCAGCAGCGAGAGATGCGAGAAAATAATGTCCAAACCGTATTAGCAAAGTGATACCAAAATTGTTTTAAGCCTTTGGTGATGAAGATATTGTTGGATCACCGAGAGATTAGGTTTAGATGACATATGGAACCACACACACACGCTTTATTTTTTTCAATTCCAGGCTGCCAAAACAAATATAAAATGCACATTGTGAAATAATAATAATCGGCCATAAAACAAGTGGAGTTCTCTCCCTCTAGACATCAAGAAACATCTGTTTGTCTCAGTAAAAACACAAGAAACACTAATATTGATTGCATGAGAGCAAAACACCAACTATGGTAAGATATCAATATTAACTTGTCTAGCAGACCTACATTGCATCCAACAACATTCGCATGAATACATGTACTAACCTGACCATGCCATGCATAATGTAATACTATTGCAGAGTTGGGATGGCTCCCCAAAAATATAGGCAGTAACGTTGATACCAATTCATGTCTCAGAGTGTTCCATGTTGGCTGTGTGAATTGTGAATAAAAAAAACAAAAGAAACCATCAATACAATGCATCAGCACTTTATATGCATTCATTTTCGAGTAGCTTGAAGTTACTGCAAACTTCAAACATTCAGTTTTAGAAGCCATTTATTAGTTTCAAAGAGACAATATTTAACTAAATAGTCATGATATTCAGTTCATAATTTTTTCTCTGATATGGGATATCACAGGATATTATTGCACATTGTTTTAGTGATATTAAGGTAAAAATTCAAATTCAACAACAAAAAGAAGTGATTTGTGATCCTAGTTTGAATGCTACTGCTCTAAGTAACAGTATATTGTTATGTAAATTAGCCAAGGAGGAACATTATATGCTGTAGATATTCCATATTACATAGTCGATGTGTTTTTTTAATTAATCAGACTAATGCATTGAAACAAACCATCATGGTGTAATATAAAACATACTCACCTGAGCTTGCAATAATGCCAACAGCAAAACATCTGGACAATTCTTTATAGGAAATGTAAACAGACTTTTCACTTGGTCGTATTTGCCAGTTTCTGATAGCCTCAGTAGCGTTTCTACTAAGTCGAGCGATTTCCTGTGCAGGGGGTGAAAGAGGAAAATTTGTCAAATATCTGATCTAGAAACGCAAAGAATATTGTTGCACAGAAAATTCTATAGTTCAGTCAAACTGTCATGTTATCCAAAACTTGCCAAATAGCCTGAATTATAATATTTTTGCCCGAAAATGATGAGTACAATATGAATCACTTACCATGTAGCAATTTCTCTATTTTCATCATCAGGGGGCGCTTTGAGTATATCAGTGACAGCAGTATGGCATGGATAATCAGCAAAACAAAATATCTCAGGATTATTCAGAGCTTGTTGTATCCATGATAACTGAGTACAGAGATACACAATAAATGCAGTGAATTTGCAATGGGCTAATTGTTCGGATGTCACACAAGACCTCAATAAGTGGTGGTTCTAAGATGCTGTATGCTAAATAAAACTCTGGAAGAGAACTTTCCATATTGATCTTTGCATTTCCACGAACTCAAGATATAGCTAATTCAGCAATTGTTAGCATTTTATAGTCGCCTAAAATCAGGCACTAAGCCCAAACTACTGAAATTGGCAAGTAGCTATATCAAGCATTGCTTGCAGTACTCTCACCTGCCCTTCTCTATTTTTCCAAGTTCTATAGATAAATTCAACGGGGAACAGTTCTTGCAAACCTCTCATGTAGGCTAGCTTTATAAGTCTGAGAGCCTGTGCATCTTTGAGATGGAACCCGGGATGATCCAACTCAAAAATTACTTCTTTCCAATTGATGTGAGGTGCTAAGTCTTTGGCCACCTCAACAAAAATGTCCACATTCCATGTGTTTATTTGGTTTCCCTGATCCCCTTTGTCTTTACCGTCGCTCCATATGTTACCACCAGGGGCTGTCAAGGACTGTAGCAACAAAGAAGAAACCTACAGGTAAGTACAATGATGGAGAACATTTCATTTTAAACACAGTGCATCAATTGAGATCACACCATGTGTTCTCTACAAAGTCTTGGAAGCATCATTAAGCATGAAAACTTCAAGTACATGTAAATGCAATTTAGCAATAATGACTGAGCATGTCGGCCGAGGAAAACCTTACTCTTATCGCAAAAATGGATGGAACTTTTAACTCTGCAATATTGCTAGCTAAATGGCCGATAATATAGCTGTGTATTAGAATGCATAGGATCAATCAAGGAAACATTTTTGTTTACATCATTCTTAAGAGGAGATGAGCTACAATGTGAGAGAGCACAATTATTTAAGTAAGTTTGGTACAAAAAATTGTTTATACACTTTTCCACTCTATGGGTGGGTGTGTTAAATGTACTTGGGCTTGAAGATTACTTTTATGGAAATTCCACAATCAATAATTGTTGTCAGGAACAGTTTGTGAACACTGATAAAAATATTGCATGTCATAGATTGAATATGACAATGTAATTTAGTCATCTCATTCTCGTTGAAAATAGTTGAAGTCAATTTTACATGCACAGATTAGTTATTGTATGCATATCCTATGGTATATAACACAAAATTCATTTAAAATTGTACAATAAATATGAATGTCCTCCCTTGAGAATGGTGTGGCCCAACATATTCGCACAATTGAAATTGGGCGTTTCAACGTGCAACTGTTTATTGCTGATTTGGTGCCCCATCCATAATAGACACAATTGAGTTTATGTTTTGTGTTTCATAAAATTGAAAAATAGTAATGTGTTTACACAAGTAACCACACAACGACAAATTAAATCAAGTCCAAAAATCAACAATATAGCACTGAAATAACGTAACTCACTGAAAAATAGGTGTAACTGCCGAATAGTATTCTTGAAGCAGTAATTACAGTATTATTACCTGGTAATGAATTGTTAGTTAAAAATCCTACCTGTAATGACATTTGATCTGCCAATCCAGTGTGGGTTCGAGCCATCATGCCTAAAACCTTGGCCACAGAGATTGGTGTGATACAGTTCACACCAAACTGTACAAGTGTGTTGCGACATTCTTCCACAGTTGCACAACATCCATAACCAATCTCTAGCAAAGTGTCAGCTAGGGAGCCATCCATCTGACAACAACAACAACATCAACATATAATTAGTATTTATTTTCACAAGGAGTGACAAGATTCAGCAAGAAAGAGGAACTACCACAATTTTACGAACAGATGAAGGTACTAAAGAATTTGAAGCACACACGTACCATGGCTTTTGGGACATTAACAACATTTCCAATCAATCTATCCATGGTGACGTCTTGTTTCTCAGAATATAATAACGGTGCCAATACGACAGGAACTTGATGTCTTGGAAAGTCTGAAATGCAATACCAATATGAAAGGGATACAGCTAATTTGCTTAATTCAATGAAATGCTAGTGAACAAAGTATAAAAATAAAAATTAGCGAATAAAATGTACACAATGATGTTATCACTTGTTTAAAGAGCTGTTTGTTACCAATGATGTAATGGAATAGTAATATCCACAAACCAATAGCCATGAGATAACAATTATTATTATACATCTTTCACCGTAAAGCCCTTAGTTACAGAGTGTCATTATTTTGCGTTTTTTTACGGGGTATTTTCATCCTACCATATTAGAAAATGCAAATTCCAAATATGGAATGATTACACGCTTAAGCGTCCTCCAATAATAAAAACAAACATGGCTGCCACCAGGGTTTGACCGAACTCCACAAAAAACATTTTTGATTTTGGCATTTTCATGATGTATCCTGGAAGGAATAGATGTATAATAGTAAGTATATTATGAGGATACCTCAAAGTATACACTCAGACAGTACACCATCACATAATCTTACTGTACTGTCTTCGTGCATACTTTGAGGTATCCTCGTAATAACCTCATAATATCTTGACCATTTTGCCAAAATAATTAGCACAAATAAAAGTTTTGCAACATAAACAATCTGTGGTAAAACTTTGAGATAGATTATACATTATCCAAATTTCAGAAGACATTTCCTAACTAGAAGAGAAAACCAACATGCATAGATTCAAACACTTACCCCTTTTTAGTGTATTGAGAAAAGCTTCTTTCTGATCAGTACCAATACCAGAATGATCTTTTGGTCCGTGCAATAAGTGTGTGAGTAATAAATGCAGTACTTCGACTGCTATATCGTTGAGTCCCCCTTCTTGATTACTACTAATATCTGTAATTAATAATACTCAAGTTATTTTTACTTGTTATTGTCTACTTAGTTCATAATGAGAGTCTTTGTTTTCCATTTTACTGTGAACTTAGCATACTGCAAATGTTCCCTTAAGTTCGAGACAGTCATTCAGCCCAAGTGCTTTAAGGGACAACATCAAAAGTTCAATGTAGGATAAAAAACTTAATTCTTTTAGTTTCCCCTCCCCACTGAAACGTAATTGATAAATATTGATCATGGCGTCAGACTACATTCACCATTAAATACAAATTGATAATGAGTCAGTAGTATTGCATAGCAGTTGGTTGTCAGGTGGGTGTAAAAAGGACTTTACAAATGCACCTCATTTGAAGCACATATTTATACTCAGACCAAACCATTTTCTCGTCTTGGATGTTTTTTTCCTGTTATTTCTGTCCATGATTGGATAGAAAAACAAGCAGCCTCTCGGCTGAGATAGCTCCGCTGTTAGCAATGCACATTTCAATTAAAGAACAGAAGATATCATTAGAAAATGAACAATATGCATAGTATCAATGCAACGGGACTTGCTGTTTTCAACAAGAATTCAAAAATACAATTTTTA